TTCGAAATGAACATATTTTGCTTGCGATTTTATTTTTCGCGATGACACTGGAGATGTCTTCATCAATCTGATGAATAAATAACTTATTTTTTAAATTCTTGGTAGTCATTATTTTGATTTCAGCTGAAGGGACAAATATGATTTTTAACTTGACATATGCCATCTATTTTTTATAATTTTTTCCTGACAATCTCTTACTTATATCATTCAACAGGGTAGTAATGAAAAATTCACTTGTTTCATTGAACATTGCATTAACAAAATCAACAATATTTGAAGTTAATACATTATACCTGAAATACAAAATTAAAAAATATCAACAAACGAAAATACAAACGATTGCAGATTTTCAATAACTATTGCAGTTTTGAAACAACTATTCTAATATCCCATAACTACTGTAATTGCTGAAACAACGGTGAATTTTGTTTCAACAACTAAGATAATTATTTCAATAGCTATAATAATTGTTTCAATAACTAAAGTAATTATTGGGGACCTACAACATTTATGTTTGAACTAGTAATAAAGTTTACTTGTTTCCTGCGAAGTATGTCTTACTTTCTTCGTGAAATTCAACATTCTTAAGATAATCCGCAACTTTTGCATTAATAATTTTGATTTGTTCAAAATGTTATGGAACACATCTCTCAGATATGCTTTTGTTGTATGATAATAATGTCCAAGAAAATATCCACAATAAATTTTCTTATGGGCATTTTCATCAAGATGCCTCGTGCAACATCTATGGTGCGCTTCAAAGTAGAATTTTGATATCATTTTTCCTATACTCGAATACCTATCGGAAATTATGTACAACTCTGAAGTATCATGTGATATGTCTAACTATTTTTCAAAAATATACTCATATGCGACATCACACTCCTTATCTGCTACACAAAATGCAACAGAAAAATATGATATTTTATATACTGTGCGACAGTAGCCAACAAAGTTCCATCGTAATGACCTCTTAAGAATGTCCCATCAACAGTTGAGACTTTTCTCATATGCACAAATCCCATAATCCAAGCTCCATAAGATAATTTTTTTTTAATCTTTTCTTGTCATTAAGCTTTAATGATGTCTTTTTTTTTCAATAACAGTCATAAGCATACGAGGATAACGATCTAAAATTGTATGTCCGTGCTTCGATGTCACTCTTGTCATAGTTTTTGCAATCTCACTACATTTATACACTTTCAGTAGCTAATTTTACAGTCTAATAATTTTATATCTTTTGCAGAGGCGTATCTAGAGGGGGTTCCGTGGGTTCACGTGAACCCATGTTGTCCTTTATAGATCATATATAGTAGTATTATATTTTTCAAAAAATATTTAAATATAGAGGTGTGAACCCACGTTAAAAGTATCATATAATAATACGATGATTATTGGGTGCACCTCTCTAAACAAATAGAAAATTTTAATCTTATATCTATCTTATTTTTTCAGTAACACTCTTCCAAGTGGTTATCGGTAACACTTCGGCGTTTCAATAATCTTTTCTTTAGTTTTTTGCTTTAATCTTTCAAAATTTTCAAGTGTGTTACATTGGAAATAATTCCTAAAAAGAAAAATAGCACTTCAATTTTTTTTAATAATTAAATCAAATGTGTATATTAAAATTTAAAACTAGTAGTATTACATATGTTGGACCTATAATTTTTAAAATTTAACAGAGTGTTGAGAACGTCAAGGTCAAATCGATTAAATTTATGTCTTAGATGCATTTTTTTGTAGTAGACTAGTAGTTCACCCATCCTTCCGAAATCCTAGATACGCCTCTGATATTTTGTAGAGGGGCCTTTTATCAAGAAACTAGGTTGAATGTATTATGCGATGGCATACGCTGAAGCATGTGGATGACGACTTCTAAGATGTTAATCCCCACATGAGTGAATGTTGCAATACTTAATGATTTCAAATATGTTACAACTTTCAAACTTTGTAGCTCGCAATCACCAATCACAATTTTGATCTACACATCTAACGCAATACACAACTTTAGAAATCATTAGTTATTTGAGTTTTGATCTTTCTTTACGAAAGCAAGCTTCAACAATTTAGTTAATTATCATTGATCCTTGGAAATTTTACCCTTATAAAAATTTGTATCATCATCATCTATGTAACTGCCTTGTGTTGGTATAGAATGTTTTGAAGCTTCCTCGTTTAAAGGAATTTCCTTTGTAACAAAATGTTCTTCATCATTTGCAACTGAATTCTTAATCTTTGCTATCTTTTCAACATACAAATATCCTTAAAATGGGACTACTTCAATCATTTAATTTTTTTTACAAATCACGATAGTTCCTTATCCCAGAAGGAGCTCCTTTTTGCTTTCAAATAAAATCAAGCATGAAACTGATAAATAAATAATCTTTATCACAATTTAACTCAAACCTAGAAATAATGATCTCAACCAACTCATAATACATAACATTCTTGCTTATCTTTATTGGTACTATTTCTCGACCCTTCAAACACCAAGGATTCTCCACCCATTCACCATGTAAATCAACTCCTATTATTATTTGATCTTTCATAGATGAGCACAATACCTGAAGATATCACATAATATTTCAGTAAATGTAACAAGTGAGACATTCATCAAACAATTTCAAAATCTCTAAAAAATATTGATTATTTGTTTTTACACTTGTTTCGTTGTTTCACAACTATCAACAATTGACAGAAAATTTTAGTAGTTTTGGGGATTCTATAATTCTTCAACTATTTATTTCAATAATTAATAATTTTCCACAATTATATCATTGTTTCTATAATTAATCAGTTGATCAGTTATTGAACACAATTGTCGAATAACTGCAGTAGTTGTTGAGATAACTTTTGTATTCGGCAATTATACACAGTTGTTGGACAATTTCTGTATTTGATAGACATGTTTAGTTATTTCTACAAATAACTTAAGTAATTGCCCAGACAACTAGAACAATTAGATTGGATTCACGGTACCCAACTGAAGAATGAATACAAAGTAATTTTTATACTTATCAGCTCAAACGATATAAATGCAATGCAAAATAATTCAAACATATTTTGATATTCTTTTCCCACAAAATCTTCTTATAGATCATCTCAATAAAACACATATATTTTTAGAGATAAAGGGATTAAGAAATATACCTACAGTAGTTATACTTTAGGCGGGTTGAAGAGGATTCTGATCCAAGACGATGAAGTTGAGAAAGAATGCACCTTTTCTTTTGGTAAAATTGTAGATATTTTAAGGAAAAAAATATAGAGGTAAAAGTGTAAAAATTAAAAAATTGAAACTGCTGAGATTTTTTTTTGGTAGGGGAAGGGGAAAGGATTACAAAGTGGGAAATCGAACCCTCACCCATAAGGGTGGTTGAGTGAGATTTTAGATAGCCAACCAATTGAGCTACTAAGATTTTAACCTCATTAATATTTATTATTTATTTATCATTTCTACCCAATATTTAAGACTTGGAGGACTCCTACCTAATTGATGAATTTTTATATCATGGTAGATGTACAACCAACTAAAGGCATGTGAGGCTCCATTAACTTTTTGACACATATAAGTGAGTCGTTTTTTCTACTTTAAACCTAAAATAAAAATAACAAAAAAGTGAAATAATATTTATAATTAATGTGAATCCCATTAGTTAGTAATAATAAATTTCACTAAATAATTGTAAAATTATAATAAAAAGTGATTATACTTCTTTAATGTTCATTTATATCAAATAAAATTTTGATTTTTTCTTCTTCAATAAATGTTATTTCTTCATCTAAATCAAATAATGATCCCATTAATTCTATCAAAAATCAAAAATACATATTTAGCTGTTCAAATTAAATTTGCATTTTTATTTAAAAAAGATTAATATTTTTGTTGATGTTAATTTGATTTTTACATTCTTATTGATGCTGAAAAGAAAAAACAGTAGTGTTCCAGATCTTGGTTCTCTCCCTAAATCTATAAATCTCAACTTAAATAAATTATTATATCAAAATTTTAATAAAAATAATACAATATTTTTAAAAATAAATGAAACATACTCCTGAAAATATTTTAAGTATTATTTTATTCAAAATTTCTAATAATAAAAAAGTAAAAGTGATTAAAATGAATATATAAATTTTATTGAATCCTTATTTACATTCTACATTAACTGTAAACCTGAAATAAATTGGACTAAGAAACATTATTAGAGTTTAGAGCCCGTTTGGATTGGCTTTAAAAAAATAGCTTTTAAGTCAAAAATAAAAAGTCAAACTGAAATGACTTTTAAGTTAAAAAATAAAAAATAGGGGGAGACGTACTTTTGGTTTCTGACTTATTTTAAGTCATTTTTTACCTTGTCAAACACTTCGTAACTTATTTTAAGTCATTTTTGACTTATTTAAAGTTATTTTTTATATTTGCCAAACACTTTCAGAAGTAAAAAACTGACTTAAAAGTAGGTTTGACCAACTTTTAAGCCAATCCAAACGGGCTCTAACAACACTTTATCAAAACGTTTCTTTGAGTAATTATATTTTGCTTTAAGTAAAAATCTCCACAACAGTAACACCATAATCATTTTTTTTTCTGTATTTTCCTTTGAAAGTTCTGAATTTTAAAAATAGGTAATAATCAAGTTTCAAGCTCACAACCAAAATAATCAAAATAGAATAACTACATTTTAGAATCACAACAATTATAGAAGAACATTTTCAAAAAGAAAAACTCACACTATGAATACACAAAAAAAATCACATCAAAATAAAATCGCCAAGCTAACATACATATATAATAATAATATATTTAGTATAATTTCATAAACTGACAAAATCTATTTAAAAGAAAAAAAAAGATAAATAGCAACAAACGCAAAGAATTTCTCTTGCATTTTTTAAATTTTGTTTTAACTCAATTTAATGTAAATGTACTTTCTCTCTCTTATTAACTTTAGCAAATTGTTGCTTTAATTAAAATTAAAATTAGATAAATAATCCACTTATTCATGTGTCAAAACAAGTTAATGCAGCACACCTCTTTTGTTGATGGTTGATTGCACCTCTAATGGGGAGTCAAGGTAAGAAACATTCTAATGGAAGCCATCATGGATGCGAAACCCTAGATAATATCAACGTCTCTCCGAATCCTTAGCGTCTAAATGGTAAGACTATGTCCTTATTTGATAATTTCATTACAAACTGTTATAAATAATTGAAGGCTCGTGATATTGGAGCCGTTTTGTTTTGATTTTTTGATAAAGAAAAATCATAAAACAATAGCTTAAAAGGAATTACATTTGCAGATGCTTTTATTGTAGTTAGGGATATATCATATATCAACTGGACAAATTTAGTACTGATTCAGATTGATGTAGTGAGGTATTACTTAGAATCTAAACATTAAAAATTAGTTTTACAATAGGTAATAAGATCATTGTTGGGTGTTGTGAGTTAATATTGATGAAAATAAAAGAACTAGCTAATTACTAGACGCGTGAAAGGCGACAACAGGAAGCAAGAACTAATCTTAATTTTTACTTAGAACCTCTCAACCTAACAAGGACAATAACAATTTCAAGGGAAAGGAAAAGAGCCACAATGTTACATATCAAAAACACCTTAAAGGCTGATTTTTTTTTTACCCAATAGAGCTTTTTCATTTACTTGATTAAATTCACCAGGAGGATTAAAAATGTGATAGTTGCTATTACTACTGCAAGAAATGTTATGTTTTTTTTTTTTTTTTTGCACTTCTTAGATCTTCACTTTGGAGCTCAATTTATTTTAACTAGTAGCACAAAATTATTGTTGTGGTTCCTTTGATGATTATGATAATATGAATGTTGAAATGAGGACGGAGAATAAAAGCTTGTAATTTTTCTTGGCCATGATGATTCCAAAATTAATAATAAAGCTACTTGTTGGATATCTTGAAAATTTGGTGGTTATTGGTCACAACTTTTGGACCAACTTGTCTTTTTTTTTAAACTGACAACTTTAGTCTACATATCCACATGTATACTACAACAAAGGTGTAGCTCCCCTTCAAAAGTGTTACAACTTACAGAGAGAGACAGACTTAATCTAAATTGCTGCCTATAAACAATCTAGCACATCAACGATGTCTTTTGTCCTAGTTAATATATATTCTTTACACCAAAAATAAAAAAGAGCTAAGCAATTCAATTTGATCTTCTGTAAGCTGTTCTGCACATTCTCAAAACTCCTGCTGTTTCTCTCTTTCTAAATTGTTCACCAAATGCATGATGGACAAGTTTCCATCTCTTCAGGATCTGAAGCATTGCCATCTCTACTCGAGCTGCTTAGAACTCCTTGAATGCTCCCGGTTGCACCCATCTTATCCCCTTTAGACAGATGAACATTCTCCATAGCTGTTCTGTCCATGTACAGTGCAAAAAAAAGATGGCTAATTGTCTCTGCATGCTCTCCACATAAAGTACATCTAGAGGCCAACTGATATCCTCTTTTGTTTAAATTTTCATGAGTCAAAACTACTTCTTTTGTCAACAACCACATGAAGCAGTTTACTTTGTAGGGTGCCTTTGGTTTCCAAATCATCTTCCATGGCCAATCTGTCTCCTGTCCTGCATTCTTGTTGAGTTCTTATAAATAGAATTTCTAGAGAATTGACCTTTGGTGTCATTCTTCCAAATCAGCAAGTCCTCCTTTTCAGTGAGGTTGCTGAATGAGGCTACTGAATCTTGAAAATCTGCCACTTTGTCTATCTCCCAGTCATGAAGGTTCCTCCTTAGGAACAAATTTCATCCTTGTCCAGTCCACATTGTAGCCACATTGGCCTGTTGCTGTTGGCATAAGACAAACAATTCAGGATGCAATTGTTTCATAGGAACTGCCCCATTCCATTTGTCCTCCTAGAAGGATGTCTTTAAACCATCTCCCACTTCTACCCTGGTTCTATGATATAGCATTGGCCATAGATTTCTGATTGCCCTCCAAACAGTGCATTTATATGGAGTACTTACCATTTTAGTCATCCACTTATCTTCCATATCATATTTTGCTGTAATGACTTCTTTCCAAAGCATGTAATTTTCATTTGCAAACTTCCACAACCACTTCATCATTAGGCTCTGATTTTGTTTCGTCTGGTTCTTGATGCCTATACCTCCTCTATATTCTTACTCACAATTAGTTCCTCCCGTTTAACTAGATGGAACTTCTTCTTATCTTCACTGCCTTCCATAGGAAATTCCTTCTAAGGGCATCAATGCTCTTAGATACATAGTAGGCATAGGAAATATAGACATCATAGAAGAGGGTAATACATCCATCACACTGTTGATTAAAGTCAATCTTCCTCCCAAGGACAAGTACTGGCTCTTCTAGTTAGTAAGTCTCTTTTCACATTTCTCCAGGACCCCATTCCATATGCCTTTGGATTTTCTTTTAGCTCTCAAAGGCATGCCTAGGTAAGTAGTTGGAAGCTCCCCAACCTTGCCTCCTAGTTTACTGGCCAAAACATGTATATTAATCACACCGTTGATAGGATAGATGAAGCTTTTCCCCCAATTTATGTGGAGACCAGAGATAGCTTCAAAATGACAAAAAGAACCCTCAATATCAGGATTTATTTTGCCTCTGCTTCCCAAAACACCAATGTGTCATATGCATATTGTAGATGAATTATCTCCAAATTAGATAGTTCTCCTGCTTGGAACCCCTTGATCCACTCCTTCCTCTTTGCTGTATTAATAAGGTTATTCATTCCTTCCATAGCTAAGATGAATAAAAATGAGGAAAGAGGGTCCCCCTCTCTTAGGCCTCTCTGAGAAGAGAAGAAGCCAGTGGGTACTCTATTAACAAGTATAGTGAACCTGACAGTACCAATACAATGCTTGTTGTATTGGACCAGCTTGTTGTAATGCAGGGATGATTACAAGAGCTCCTGATTTACTTGCATCTGCTTCAACTACATTTAATGTTGCATATGCTTTCTGATTCAAAGCATTTACTTCAACCCCAAGCTTAAGTAGATAAATAATCAACTGAAGAGACAGAAATTCATGTATACAAGAGATAAATTAGTTTTGAGCTTTTGTATACAAGTATATATTTTTTGAGGAACTATGTTTTGCAAAGGAAAGCTTAGTTGCCTCTAAGAAACTGATTCATTAATCATGAATAGTTATTAGTGTAAAATGTTTTGCAAAGGAAAGTTCAGTTTCCTCCATGAATTGCTTTTCTCCGAGAATCTCTCTAGTTATCTTCTTTCCTTTGAGATATTTCTAGTTATGGGGGAAGAAGAGTATAAGTTGTTAGAGAAAGTTTATGTGAGCTATCTTTTTAGATTTTCTTCAACAATAGTTTTGTGTTCCTATAGGCTATAGACAACCATTTAAGTAAATTTTGAAATATGTTCTAACATGTTATGACATGGTTGAGTATTGAACTTACCAGACAATTTCACCAAATATATTAACACCTATTTAACTCTAGACATGTATCAATAAATAAATAAAATCAAGCATTTCTTTGTCATCTGAAATATAAAAAGCCTATTATTACCTACCAACAAGTGGAGGTGTATTTTCACTTTGTCATTATTTTACTAGAAAACATATATTCATGCTTCTCTATCACAGTTCATGATTATAATGTTGTCATATGGTTCTTGATTCTTTTATTGTTGCAATCTGCAAGGTACTTATGATGAAGGTACAAAAGAATGTCTTGTCACCTACACATGTGATTTATTATGTTGGGGAAAGTAACAAGATGCTCAGGAAATTTCGCAAAGATGGTCATAGCTGGAAGAAGAAAAAGGATGGGAAAACTGTAAAAGAAGCTCATGAACACTTAAAAGTGAGCGTCCAATGATCCTGAGTGTGTGCATATTTTCCATTATTGTTTGCTACCTTGCTTGTTATTTATCTGCTCCTCATTGAGGTTTTGCTATATATCTGCTTTCTGCCTTTTAGGTTATAGTTGCTGATTCGAAATCTCTTTGCCTTCTTTTTTTGCACAAGTATTGATGTAAATTGAACACCTGAAGTTAAGATAATAAGATAACTCCTTTCCACTTTATCTATACGGCTTAATTGTAGAAATCATGTACATCACTTACTATTGCTGTACAGCTCTATTTTTGCCACTCTTGTTCTGTACATCTCTACTTTTGTCTCTCTACCCACAAAGGTTAGGGCAAGGTCTACGTACATCCTACCCTCCTCAGACCCCACTTGTTGGATTACACTGGGTATGTAGTTGTTGTTGTACAACTCTACTTTTGTTACCATCAGTTTGTTCCCCAGGTAAAGGTTAGCAACCTTTGTCGTTACAGATCCCTTGGACTAATTGAGAAAAAATTGTAGCCTATCATCACATGCTATGGACAAGTGTTTAGTGGCATAAGAAAAGGGATGTAGAGTTGAATGTTTGTACTGGAGAATAAGTAGTGTAACACCTCGTGTTGTCATTTGGATTTGAACTTAAGATGCTGACTTGCCGAAGCCGATTAATGCATGTAGCAGAGGTTATTGAGTGCTTTCGGATACAGGTTCAAGCATAAGCGACGGAAGATGTTTTGAGAACAAGAGCTGCTCTATGGAGAAGATGAAGCTGAATTGTTTAGCTCTTTTCTATTTTTGGTGTAAACATGAATATCCTCATGAAGATGAGGATATCCCTAGTATGTTAGAGTCCTTAAGGAGTTCATAGGAAAACAACATCACTTTTGTATTTCTGATTGTAAGTATTACTGGAATACGTCCCGAGTATTCCTGTGTTTATAATACAAGTTACCTTTTCAAAAAAATAAAATAAAATAAGCGACGGGAGATAATGAAAATATATGAACATTTGAATCATATTCTCTCCTATAATACATCACCTTTGATGAGTGCTGTCACACTGAAACACAGAATCTGAGGAAACTTCTAATTGCACAGTACATAATCATGTGACAAGTTTGACGGTGGTCAGTAAATTATTCATCTACTGCAGCTACATGACTGGAGGTGTTTAAACATAGCACTAGCTGCTAAGAGAGCACAAAGATTAAATGCATCTATCTGCCGAAATGTGTGGAGCTCATTCAGGAACAAGCTAGAATGGCCATGATCAATATTGTTGGAGCTAATTATGCATATAGTATTAATCAAAGCTCAATATCACATAGCCAAACTTTTTCTTGCCAAAATACTCATGTAACTAAGACCATCTCTAGTATCACCAGTATATACTACTATGCTTCTATTTTTGGCTACATCCGAAGATGACTGCAATTAAAAGGATCAAATTCAATTAGCAAATTATCAATCTGCATTCATCTATTTAAGGAGAGTTTCTAGTAATCCTATTAGCTTTAGGGTGCAATCATTTTTAAAACTGTCCGTACCTAGTTTTAGTTGGTAATGTCTAACTAGCTTTCTGCATAATCTTTGGATAACTTGTATTTCTCAATAGTCATTTTTATTATGAACAATTTATCATTAATTTAGTTTTTAACCTTCTTCCTTTCATGTTACGTTTCTTTCGTCATTCCTACACTAGAACTTTCGGATGCTTTATATTTGCAATTTGCAAGTGTGAATTTTCTTTTATAGCTTGATGCATAAAAGTTGTCAATATTTTTGTTCAATGCATTCAATAGAATGTCGATAGACTTAACGCTGCTTTCCTTATTACTATGCTTTCTTTATTGTTTTCTTCTTCTTGTACTTTGTTTTGATGGACTTGAGCCGAGAGTCCTCCGGAAACAACCTCTCTACCTCCATGAGGTAGTGTTAAGGTCTACATACACTTTACAGTACCTTATGTAAAAAAAAAAAAAGGTCTACATACACTCTACCTTCCCCAAACCCCAATAAGTGGGATTTCACTGGGTGTATTGTTGTTGTTGTTTCTTGTTCTTTGTGTGGTAATCATATTTATAGCCAAACTTCGTATAGTCATACTGATTACATTCTTATTGTTGCAAAGCACCGTCACATTGGTTCACATAATTTTTATTTTTAGTAGCCACAACCACACAATATTCACATTAGTAGATTAGATGTTCAACTGTGGTACATTTCTTTGATTTCTTGTAGTAATATCGGGACTCATCTTGGAGTTTCCTTCTCTGCAAGGTAAGTTTTTGTTGTTTTACCTATGAATTGCTTTGTGGAACGCCTAATTTTGCTCAATTCTGAATTTACCCTGTATGATTTCATCTAGATTTTTTTTTTAACCTTGTTTGTTGGTGATTTGTTATCTGTTTGATCTGTCTAATCATTTTAGATTTGCCTGTTGCCATGTAGAATTTACTAACGTTACCAATTGAACTACTTTGTATTTTATTTTCAGCCTCTTCTACAACAATAACTAAGTTTAGTGTTTCGCTGAATGGGTGTTTTTTAATGAGGTTAGAGTTGCAAAAGGTGAGATTGTGGAGATTGTCAAGGGATCTGTTGTATGGGTTACAGATAGGATTTTGTTTGCAAAAGGATGTATTTGTTCAGGAGGTTGATGATAGGAATATAGTTGGAAAAAATAATATATTACCCACAGATTGTACTCCAGTTGGTACGCAACTGGAGATATTAAGTAGAAACCATCCTGTGTCGCGTATCCACAAATGTGTTAATTCTTGATTATGAAAGGGAGAGTTGTATGTTAGGGTAAAATTGGAGTCAATGACGATTTTAATTTCCAGTGGCTAGTCTTCATGGAGTACATTCTGATCAAAATCTTGTAGGAAGGAGGTATTTCTTGTTGTGGGTGAACCTGGCCAGGATAAGGAATGTGATTTCCCCAAGGATCTACACTTGCTGTTGAGGTGGAAGCATGTCATCTCGATGAGAAGGGCGTAGAACAAGTCAATAATGATGGAGCATCTCATGAGAGTGGTGTCAATACTATTGGAAGAGAGGACGTGTTATCTCTGGGGCTTATGAGCAAGGAGGTTGTTGGTCTACTTGATGATACAATGAAAGGAGACAACAGAACTGGTGTTGTTCCACTCCAGGAAAAAAGTTTGTTTTGAATCGACTAGCCAGTGAAGGGCCACCAAACTTTTCAGACGATCCTAATGATGTTTCATTGCCGGAGATTCTCAATCCAATTGAGAATCTTGAACAACTATTTATTGCAACATTTACTGCTGGTATACCGTTGTAGGTCAGACTTTCCTGCTTGCATTTTGATTAGCTTATATTTAAGGAGTTCCTAAAAGCTTATAAGGCAACTAACGCTACATAGTCAATATTGCCAATTCCATAGTTTGAAATATATGTATATGTCCCGACTACATGTAGCTTTTGCTCTTTTCTTTTATTCTGAATGAATCTTTTATTATAGGTTTCTGTCCTACTGCGAGATTCCAGCTGATCTACTACCTGTTACCATAGCTCGCCACAATGTTGAAAATTGTTGGAGTTCGAGCCCTAATAAAAGAAGTTCAAAGCCTTATCCAGATTTTCCAAACCTGGTTATTATGTAGGTCGACATACCCCTCCCCTCTCTTTTTCACTATGCTTTGCGAAATAGTATGCTATTAGGAGCATGTGCTAGAAATGGTTGACTTTCTTATATTGCTTAGGAATGTAACAACAAACAACTTTTGATCTCGTGAGTTCATGATTACAGTTATCCTCCATTTCCTGAGGTGATAGCATTTGGTCAAAGACCTAAGTAAATCAGCCATTGGTTGCCATCATCCAAAGTTGCTTGTGTTGCTAAGGAGAGGTAGTCTCTGTGTTGTGGTCACATCTGCTAATTTGGTGGTAGAACAGGTGCTTGTTTAATCACCTTTCCTCTGTGTTCTTTTGTGTGAATCAGCTCATTCTTTCTCTTATGACCTATTAAATTATTATGTGAACTTGAAATGAATGTGTTTTTTTTTGGCACCAGTCACTTAGCAATTCAGTTTTTCCTCTTTGTCAGTACTTTTGTTAATCTTGATAATCTGTTAAAATAAATTGAGAAGAGGAATAAAGAACAAGATTGTGGTGCTCATGGTAAGCTTAATTGCTAAGGTTTGCCTAATTAAGCATATACATTTTTTTTTACACCTGTAACGTCGAGTTGGGCTGTGAAGTAGCAGTTAAGAGTCCATCAGATATTCTTGAACAATGAAAAAAATATATTAGAGATTGTCCTCAACTTTTAAAAGTAGTAATCTAGACATGTTGTTCCTTTTGAGGGTTAAAAATAGATTAAGAAAGGCCCTATATCCTATGAATATTTAGTGTTTCTGATACGCTCAAATTACACCTCCCTAAAGAAGCATAAGCGATCGTTATCAAGTAAAGAACCCAACTTGTAGGTTGGGGTCGATCCCACGAGGAAAATGGTTTAGACTTTACTTTAACCAACAATTATATTCAATTAGTCAAATTACTTCCAGAAACAAGTAATTAAAAGGGGAGGGGGGGTTATGTGAAACAAATTGTAAGAATTCAATAAATAATCAGTAA